TCTTGTGATTTTCACAATATAAAGCTCTTTGGTGTAGGATTTATAATTTTTAAACTACAACCGTTTGAATATGGCAACCGCCAGTGAAGTGGGCAAGTTGGAGCAGTTTGTTTTTAACCACTCTTCTCTGCCCTTGCTGTAGAGTGAGTTGCTATAGGAACCCGGGTGTGTGAGCAGGCAAGAACACTTCACACAATTTCCCCAGAAATTGTAGCTTTTCTAGTTTTATATAGTCTTTGAAAAAAAGACATGACAAGTGAAAATACATAGATTATGGCTGTAACTATCAAAAGATGTGTAACTTAGTATTAATGATGAAAGCTTGGTCATGCAAGTGTTGCAGCTGACGCGTTTTGAGATTAAGTGTCCTCTCTTCCTCAGAGGTGCTCAAAGAGGCATGATATCTGTAACAAACATACATATCAGTATACATCCTTGTTCATAAAGATTTTTTTCCTCAATGATTAAAGTATGATAGAACACTTACATGGCCCCAAATAGGGGCAGAAAAAGTACACGTAGACCACCAAAGTGTACTTTCAGTGTACACCAAAGTGTAAATTCTCATGATGCAGTAGAGAGTATTGACAGGCCCCTCACGGCATAGATGATGATACAGTGCAAGGAAAGGAGATAAGAGTAACTGGCCAAAGCATCTCCTGGAGAGGTCCCACCCCGAACACACCAATTGGGAACCCTAAAATGGCAGGTGCTCTTTAACCATTAGCCGCCCGGCCAATAGTCGTTTGGCGGCTGGAAAAATGCATTAGATTTCCGGGTGGATGACATATGACGTACTCCCGGGCATGCGCAGTTTGTGCACTTACAGAGCCGTGACCAGCCGTGTACCTCGGACACGGCCGCTGACAGATCTGAGTACCGGCCCCCGTTGCCGGTACCATGTGACCTGCTGTGACCAATCACAGCAGGTCACATGACAGTTGTATACAATGGATGGCTTCATTCATGCCATCCATTGTATACTAGTGTCTAGCTGTGAATGGTCACAGCGATCACATTCACATGTCATGTGACTAGCTGTGGCCAAATCACAGCTAAGCACAAAAAAAAAAAACAAAACAAAAAAAAAACAAACCCTAAATGAATTGATGTCATTCTGGTAAATGCTTGCTTATAGCAAAGTAATTCTTTGCTATAAGCAAATTGTGTAAAAAAAAACCCAAAATACTAAGCACTTCCGCAAAGTAGTACAATGTTACTATGGTAACATTGTACTACTTTGGTCATAGTGAAATATGAAAAAGAATCTTTAAAAAAAAGAAAAAAAAGTAGTAAAAACAAAAAATAATAATAAAAAAAAAATATATATATATATATTTTTTTTTCATACTGTCACCAGTCAGTGTCCCTGATCACTGCCATCCCAGTTATATGATGACGCTGTACTGCACTGGTGACAGTATGTAAAAAAACAATAGTGAAAATTATTTTTTTTATTTTTTTTCATTTTCAGAAAAGTTATGACAAATAAATACAACTTAAAAAAACTCGCCATGCCTCTTATGAAGTACGTTGGACTGTCTACTTTGCAAAAAGGGGTCATTTGGGGGATATCTGTACTGTTCTGACATTCTTGGACCTCAAGAAATTAGATTGGCTGTCAGTACTTCAGGATTGATCAATATTCAGATCTATACCATAGTTTGTGAACTGTATAACTTTCCTACAAACTAAAAGATACATCCTAATTTGGGTTATTTTCACCAAAGACATGGAGCAGAATACATCTTGGCCTAAATTTATGAAGAACAATTATTTGCAAACTTTTATAACAGAAACAAAAGTGTTTTTTTTTTTCAAAATGTTCGGTCTTTTTTTGTTAATTTAGCAAAAAATAAAAACCCCAGCGGTGATTAAATACCACCAAAAGAAAGCTCTAGTTGTGTGAAGAAAATGATAAAATTTTAGTTTGGGTACAATGTTGTATGACCGCGCAATTGTCATTCAAAGTGTGAGAGCGCTGAAAACCTGAAAAATGGCCTGGGCAGGAAGGGGGTAAAGGTGCCCGGTATGGAAGTGGTTAAATGTAAGGAATCCAACTCATTCTTGCTGGCAGTTAGAATCTTTAATATTTGCAAACCAAAGGAAGGTTTCCTTTTTAGAATAATAAGCTGTCAGGTTAGTGAAACCAGGATATCAGAACCGATTTTAGGTTAATAGGTTCATCACACATAGCTGGAGAAACTACTCAGATTCTTTTATTTCATGTTTTTTCTCATGGTTACTGTGAAATTGTGTGAATGCATCAATGCAGTGCATGTTATCTAGGCTTGCAGAGCTTAGAGTCATTGAATGAGTTTACCAAAAATGTAAATATTGCAGAATATACAGCCTCATGCTACATAACTAAGCTCCATTTCATGCTGAATAAACTAAATTATTAATGTATCTTAAATAGAAAACTACCTTTAGATAGATTTTTACTCCAAAAGCATTTTATTAAAGTAAATTTGTAAATAAATTTGTAAGTAAGTAAATAAAACTCAAAAAAATGTGATTTAAATTTTTTTTTTTTTTAAATCATTGATTTTTATGCACCCTGAATTTCAGTAAAGGTAAGAGTACAAAACAGAGCCTCTGAGCATACCCCGGCTCAAGGTAGTACAATAACAAAGTGCATAAACAGACAGTAAACCGGTAAAAAAAATAACTAACCCATCCTTGCAACTCGTAAAGCACAAATACTGCTGCTCAAGCCACGATGGCCAATGAAGAAAGGAAGAAGTAGTGTGATCCAGGATACCTTGTCTCCTCTCCACCACCCAAGACACAGTCAACAAAGTCTCATGTACCATAGGATAATACAGCACTGATCACACTTTATGGGGCAAGGAGCTATCTAAGGTTTACCCAGGTTCAGGACTGAACATAGGCAATCGTTCGGGGTAGGCTGGCAGTGGCCCCAGAGTCATGTTGATCCACCATGGTAGCATCCTATTCTAGCTAGATGTCCCACATATTGTGGAACTTCTTGGGGTAGCCTCGAGAGATATACAGTTGTGGCCAAAATTATTCAACCCCCACTGAAATTGAGTGTTTTGGCCAGTTTGACATTGCTTTTGATCATTCAGTCATCTTGCTTACATTTACATTAAAGAGGCACTTGTAGGTCAGACAAATATAACATAACAGTTATAATGAAATAACCACAAATGTCTTTTCTGTGCTCACAGCATTATCAGTTTTATTCAACCCCCAAGTGACATTCAATCTTAGTACTTAGTACAGCATCCTTTTACAGTTATAACAGCTTTTAAACGTGAAGCATAGCTTGACACAAGTGTCTTGCAGCGATCTACGGGTATCTTCGCCCATTCTTCATGGGCAAAGGGCCTCCAGTTCAGTCACATTCTTAGGCTTGCGCACTGCAACTGCTTTCTTTAAGTCCCACCAGAGGTTCTCAATCGGATTTAAGTCTGGTGACTGCGATGGCCACTCCAAAATGTTCCAGCCTTTCCTCTGCAACCATGCTCTAGTGGACTTGGAGGTATGCTTGGGATCATTGTCCTGTTGAAAGGTCCAACGTCTCCCAAGCCTCAGGTGTGTGACGGACTGCATCACGTTTCCATCCAATATCTCCTGGTACTGAAGAGAATTCATGGTACCTTGCACACGCTGAAGCTTCCCTGTACCTGCAGAAGCAAAACAGCCCCAAAGCATGATTGACCCTCCACCATGCTTCACAGTAGGCAAGGTGTTCTTTTCATCATAGGCCTTGTTCTTCCTCCTCCAAACATAGCGTTGATCCATGGGCCCAAACAGTTCTAATTTTGTTTCATCAGTCCACAGAACACTATCCCACAACTTTTGTGGTTTGTCCACATGGCTTTTGGCATACTGCAGTCGACTCTTCTTATTCTTTGGAGACAGCAAGGGGGTACGCCTGGGAGTTCTGGCACGGAGGCCTTCATTACGCAGTGTGCGTCTTATTGTCTGGGCTGAAACTTCTGTACCCACATCTGACAAATCTTTTCTCAGTTCCTCAGCAGTCACACGGGGACTTCTCTCCACTCTACGCTTCAGGTAGCGCACAGCAGTCGAAGTCAGCATCTTCTTTCTGCCACGACCAGGTAGCGTTTCAACAGTGCCCTTTGCCTTGAATTTGCGAATGATGCTTCCTAAGGTGTCTCTTGGTATGTTTAACATCTTTGCAATCTTCTTATAGCCATTGCCCTTCCTGTGAAGAGAAATCACCTCTTCTCTTGTCTTCCTGGACCATTCTCTTGCCTTCACCATGTTTGTAACCACACCAGTAAATGTCTAGAAGGAGTCTGAGTATCACAGTCATTTTAAAGCTGCCTAATTGGTGCTTATTATGCTTGATTGCTGCTCGGTGACATCCACAGGTGTTTTCAATACCTGATGGAAAGCACCTGTATGAACCTCTGTTCTTCAGAGTGGTAGTCTTTAAGGGGTTGAATAATTGTGGCAATGAAGAAACCACATAAGAACCATTTACTACTGTATTACATAAACAATTGATGTCATTTTAGTTGCATTTGGGTAGTTACAACGTCCTTGTAGGATTTGATTCTGAATACAATTCCAAATGTACACTATAGTCCCTAAACCCCTTTACAGCATTGGGGGTTGAATAATTTTGGCCACAACTGTACGTCTTGTTATTGGTTTTCCAAGTAAAGTAAATATTTGTTGAAAGTCTGGATAAAAATTAATATTTTCCTGTACAGCTGGGGATTCTGCATAGGATGTGCAAAATTCTTGCTTCAGGGTCACCTGCGAGACCAGAGACTGTGTTTAACCACTTCCCGTCCGGCCCATGTACATAAACGGCCAGACGGGAGCAGTGCCGAAGCGGGTTGCCGTTTATAAAGGGCCCGCGCATTCACTCCCTGGGAGCGCGGCACCGTGATCCAGTTCCCGATCACTGTACGGGACCTCTGTGTGAGGTCCCGGTCATGTGATCATTGATTGGCTAATCAGTGATCACATGAATAGTAGTAAACAAGATACCACTTCTTGACATCATTGCTTACTACTAGTGAAATCTGTGAATAATCACAGAGGTCACATGGTACAAGGCTATTCACAACAGCCTTGTACCATGTGACAAGCTGTGACCAATCACAGCTCGCACAGTATTTCTCAATGGCTGCAAGAATGCTGCCAGAGAGAAGGAGAATGATTGCTTTTACAGCCTTTATGGGTGTAAAAGCAATCAGTATAAAAAAAGAAAAAAAAAAAATTCTTCATCACCCCCACAAGTAAGTACAGTGTCACCATGGTGACACTGTACTGCTAGTGAGACAGTATGTTAAAAAAACATAAATAATAATATACAAAAATAAAATAAAAATGTAAAAATAAATTTAAAAAAATTATAATATTTGGTTATAAACTAATTTGGGTTATTTTTTTTTTACTTAAAAGGTAGCTGCATACATTTTGGCAAAGATTTATAAAGCAATATTACTTATTTGCAAAATGTTTTAAGAAAAACACTTTTTTTTCAAAATGTTTGGACTTTTTCATTTGCATAACAAAAAAATAAAAATCCCAGCGGTGAATAAATACCACCAAAATAAAGTTGTATCTGTCTCAAAACAATGCTAAAAAATTCATATGGGTACAGTGTTGCCGTTTATAAATGGCCCCCACATTCACTGCCTGTGCGCGCTTCCTGGGAGCGCGCGGCACCGCGATCCAGTGCCCGCTGCTGTACGGGACCTCTGGCAGCTCCCGATTCATGTGATCACGGATTGGCCAATCCGTGATCACATGAATAGTAGCAAGCAAGCGGTCACTTCCTGACATCAGTGCTTGCTACTTGTGAAATCTGTGAATGATCACAGAGGTCACATGGTACAAGGCTAATCGCAACAGCCTTGTATCATGTGACAAGCTGTGACCAATCACAGCTCTCACAGTATTTTTCAATGGCTGCAAGAATGCAGCCAGAGAGAAGGAGAAATTATTGCTTTTACAGCCTTTATGGGTGTAAAAGCAATCTGTGTAAGAGAAAAAAAAAATCTTCATCACCCCCCACAAGTAGTACAGTGTCACCATGGTGACACTGTACTGCTAGGGTGACAGTATGTTAAAAAAACATAAATAATAATATACAAAAATAAAATAAAAATGTAAAAATAAATTTAAAAAAATTATAATATTTGGTTATAAACTAATTTTTTTTTTACTTAAAAGGTAGCTGAATACATTTTGGCAAAGATTTATGAAGAAATATTACTTATTTGAAAAATGTTTTAAGAAAAAACACACGTTTTTTTTTCAAAATGTTTGGACTTTTTCATTTACATAACAAAAAAAAAAATAATCCCAGTGGTGAATAAATACCACCAAAATAAAGTTTTATCTGTCTCAAAACAATGCTAAAAAATTCATATGGGTACAGTGTTGCATGAGCGCGCAATTGTCATTCAAAGTGTGATAGCGCTGAAAGCTGAAAATTGGCCTGGACAGGAAGGGGGTGAAAGTGTCCGGACTGGAAGTGGTTAAAACTATGTGTAAGGGGGTCATTCATCCCAATGGCCACAAGTGTAAGGAACATTCTTTCCACTGAGAATCTCACTAATGTATCATGAGTTGTAGATAAAGCCATTTTTATTAGGGGCTCCCTGAGACTGGAAAGGTATTTCAGGGGTTCCTCTGTGTTGAAAAGGTTGAGAAAGGCTGGTCTAGGGGAACAGAAAAAGTGATAATACCTTGTTCCTTGCACCCCCAGCAGCCAGCTCTCTTCCCCTCTATCCAGTGTTCTAGTTTAGGTTGTGGATGGACCCTCTGCGTCCTCACTTACAATGGGAAACTGAAGGCCCTGTATTGTATGTGATGATATCTGAGTGCCTGCGAGTGACAGATTGGTGAAGGGAAGCGGCATCAGGAGAGGAAGCCAGCAGGAATGAGAAATAAAGTAAATAAAACCTTTTCTAGACAAAACATGCATTTAATCCTTGCAATTTGATGGAAGCCCAACTGCAAGGATCTGTTTTTATTTTTTTGGAGGCAAGCTTTAAACGCATATGGGGTTATTTGGAAAGAACTTGACTTTAAAGGAGTCTTTTGTAATTCTTTGTACAGGAGCACTCAGACTGGGAGAGGGAGGGGCACGGCTAGGAGCCAAGTAGGCGTGTGTGGTGGTGGTGCACATGTGATAACAAGGAACACTCTGACAGGAGGAGAGAGCAGAGTAAGCAGAAGGATGGCTGTTCAGTGTGCTGCTGCTTCATCTCATTCACATCAAAGTCATAAACTTGAGGGCAGGGAGATGACCTAGCTGTACTGCTTGGCGTGAGCCGCGTGCGCGTCCTACCCGCATTGCCATTCGTATCTCCGGGTCCTGGTCGGTGATTACTTGCCAGCACCCAGTGGTCGCCGAGTATTACCAATGGGGTAGAGAACTGTATGTAAACAATACAGTTCTCTCCCCTGTAAGCTGCACGCTGCATAGCAGAGCCATACAAAGCAGTGTGCTTACAGTGAAGCACACACACAGCCCCCTTAGTGAAACACACACAGTTAACCCTTTGATCGCTCCACATGTTAACCGCTTCATGCCCAGTGCCATTAGTACAGTGTAATTTTTTTTTATTAGCACTGATCACTGTATTATTGTCGCTGGGGATGTCAGTGACACCAAGTCAGTTCCCCCCAGTGTCAGAATGCCCGCCGCAGTCCCACTGTAAGTTGCTGATCGCCGCCATTACTAGTAAAAAAAAAAAAAAAATTTCCAATATATATTCCACCATTTGTAAACGCTATAACTTTCACATAAACCAATTAATTTACTCGTATTGGGATTTTTTTTTTTTAGCAGACATGTCGCAGAATATATTTTGAAGCATATTTATGACAGAATTTGATTTTTAAAATTTTTTTTACTGGATATATTTAATAGCAAAAAGTCAAAAATATTGTTTTTTTCCCTCAAAATTCTCAGTCTTTTTTTTTGTTGATAGCGCAAAAAATTAAAATCGCACAGGTGATCAAATACCACTGAGAAAAAGCTCTATTTGTGGGGGAAAAAAGGACGTAATTTGGGTGCAGCGTTGCATGACCGTGCAATTGTCAGTTAAAGTAACGCAGTGCCGTACCGCGAAAAATGGCCTGGTCAGGAAGGGGGGTAAATCCTCAGGAGGGAAAGTGGTTAATGGTGTATTTAACAATCCAAAAGAGGCCAAATAGGAGAAGTTAATTTACTGCTGGTGATAAGTTACTAAATTTTTCTAATTCAGCTGAGCTGTCTACGAAGTACACCCTGTAGTGACATAATCCTCTATTTTAAGCTTTACTAGACAAGTATAAAGAGTGGTCAGACATTCAGGACTTGCAGCTCATCCTAGCACTGGCTGCTGTACTATTAAGCTGGCCATACACGTGTAGATTTTTGGCTGAAAATATTCGTAAGAAAAGCTGAACGAAAATGATTTGCACATTCGATGAATGGACGAATGTTGTTCAAAAATTGTATTTTGCTTTTAACATTCGATTTTTAAAATGAATGTAATTTCTGAACTAGAACCACATACACTGGCTGAAAATTTGTTTGAACAAAAGTTTTCCTTCCTGTCCCTTCAAATTTTTCTGTCACTGCTCTTGAAAACAAACATAGATTTGACCCCACTATGGGTTGGAAAATCAAATGAATATTCTTAAAACAAATATTCTCAGATGAAAATCTACACGTGTATGGCCAGCTTAACTTTTCAAATTCAGTCGAATATTTTCGAATTCGGTTGAAATCTTTTTGATTTCAATTACCTTTTTGAATTTTGTTGAATCAATTTTGAATTTGGTTGAACCAATTTCGAATGTGAACGACTTTTCGAATTTGGCCAAAATGTTTTCAAATTGAATTAGAATACGAATTACCGTAATGAATCCCGAAAACCAATTAAACGAATCTTGAAAACCAATTGAACGAATATACCGAATCCAACTACACAAAATTTGTTAGATTTTGAATCGAAAAAATTTTTTTTTTTTAAATTTTGCACATGTCTATCCACAATGCCATATTCTATAAGATCTTTAATTTTCGTGATTCTCTCATTTTTCGCCCATTGTCTTAATACATTATAACTCATGACAACACAATCAAAAGCATTTAAATGCATGAATGGAAATGGTCAGAAAGCAAAAATGACAATATATCAATGCTTTAGAAAAAATCATATAAACAAAGCAAAAATTTTTCTTTTATACATTTAATCTGGTTTTCTGGCCTTTTAAGGTGATAAATATACTCCCTAGAAAGATTATTAATATGAACATTTCAACACATGAAGATCAGTATTTTTCAGTGCTGACGGGTTTGCTTCAGTAAAAAAAAGAAAAAAATCCACCGAGCTTTAAGCCAGTGACCCTGGAGCCAGATGTGACCCTTTGCCTGTTTTTATCTGGCCCTTGGGCTCTTATTCCCCCCACTGTCAGCAACAGTGGGGCATAGTTCCTGATGCTGACAACGGGGTCCTATTCCTCCCACTCACACCAATGATGGGGTACTATTCCTACTACTCACACCAATGATGGGGCACTATTCCTCCCACTGGTACCAATGATAGGGCACTATTCCTACCACTCACACCAATGATGGGGCACTATTCCTCCCACTGGTACCAATGATAGGGCACTATTCCTACCACTCACACCAATGATGGAGCACTATTCCCCCCACTGACATCAAAGGTGGGACACTATTCCTCCCACTGATACCAATCATGGGGCACTATTTCGCTCTCACTGACACCATTGATTAGATAATATTCCTCCTTCTGACACCATTTATGGGGCACTATTCCTCATACTGATACCAATGATGGGGCACTATTCCTTCCACTGACACCAATGATAGGACACTATTCCTCCCACTCACACCAATGATGGGACACTATTCCTCCCACTGATACCAATGATGGGGCACTATTCCTCCCACTGATACCAATGATAGGACACTATTCCTCCCACTCACACCAATGATGGGACACTATTTCTCCCACTGATACCAATCATGGGGCACTATTCCTCCCACTGACACCAACAAACAGCACTATTCCTTCCACTGATACTAATGATGAGGCAATATTCCTCCCACCTATGCCAATCATGGGGCACTATTTCTCGCACTGACACCATTGATCAGATAATATTCCTCCCACTGACACAAACAAATAGCACTATTCCTCCCACTGATACCAATGATGGGGCACTATTCCTCCCACTGATACTAATGATGGGTCTCTATTCCTCCCACTGATACCAATGATGGGACTCTATTCCTCCCACTGATACCAATGATGGGGCACTATTCCTCCCACTGATACCAATGATGGGTCACTATTCCTCCCACTGATACCAATGATGAAGCACTATTCCTCCCACTGACACCAATGATGGGGCACTATTCCTCCCACTGATACCAATGATGGGACTCTATTCCTCCCACTGATACCAATGATGGAGCACTATTCCTTCCACTGATACCAATGATGGGGCACTATTCCTCCACTGACACCAATGATGGGGCACTATTCCTCCCACTGACACCAATGATGGGGTTCTATTCCTCCCACTGACACCAATGATGGGGTTCTATTCCTCCCACTAACACCAATGATGGGGTTCTATTCCTCCCATTGACACCAATGATGGGGCTCTATTCCTCCCACTAATAACAATAATGGGAAAACTATTCCCCCCCTAATACCATATTCTGCTCCCCCTGGTCACAGTCTGGCCCTCTAAAGTTTGAAGGACCGTGTAACTTTGTTTAGAAAGTTTGGAGATCCCTGCTTTAAAAAGTTAATAAAAAAAAAATTATACATAAATACAATTTCATAAATCATGTAATCATTCAAACAGAAAATGTGCTTGTGCTTTTCCCCCTCACTTCC